CCATGAGTCTCGTTTTACAAAAGATTGGAAAACTATGAATGAAATCAAATGTTTATCATGGCCATCACAATCACCAGACTTTGAACATCATTGAAAACCTCTGGTTGCTGATCAAAATCAGGCTACAGAGAGTTTCACACACCATCAAATCAAAGGAGGAACTTTTTCAGCAGATTATTAGGATTTGACAGTCAATACTTCTGCATCATATTCAGGCGTTATACTCATCTATTCCAAGAAGAATAAGAGCTGTGAGGATAAATAAAGGTCACATAACAAAGAATTAGTCATCCAAAGTTTAATTTAGGGGTAAGTAAGCCTTAATTTCTACTTTTCTGTGACCCTCTATAAGTTTTGCCCCTAAACATGGCGGCCATTTGATGACATAATTACATCTACACTAAATGCCTTTACAAGATTAGTTCAAACAACACTCCACTGAAAACACTCCAACAAAAATTTAAAAAATGTAGCCATCTAAATCTATATATGCAGCCATTAACAATGATTCATAATTTGACACATTGATTACATTTATGACTAAATCATGGCTCAAATTTGCCATGACGTGCAGAACTAAAACCATTTGAATTCTTATATTTTAGGTTATGTGGGCCCAAATATTTAACAAATGTTTGAGAGGGAAGAAAGGTGAACCAACAGTAAATATTGATGAAATAATAATGATACAAGTGACATGACTGAAATTTCCTTTCCCTTTCAGAAACCCTTTGGTCATCTTCCGTGATGTGCTGAATGTGTCTCATGTCAGTTTGCATCTAACAATAACTTCCAGGCAGAATGGAACTTACACACAAAACATGGCTTACAAAGACAAGCTGGTGAAAGTGGAAAAACCATGCAAGTTGTGGATATTGACAAAGACAAGAACATGTTTCTGTGTGACGCAATCCACAAACACCTAATGATGACTTAAGTAACATACAGAAATCACACATTCAAACATTACAAAATTGCTCATACATGTACCAAACGTAGATGACACATGCTTCTCTATCAACCGTCTGGCTTTGTCCACATCAACCACACTTTAAAAGTTAATTCTTATAAATCATATATAACCATTAACACATACTCAACTACCTGTATCACCACAATGATCCTTCAGTAAAACAGACTCAAATTTTTCTGATGCTTTACCCTCGAGTAGTATTGTTTGCTTGCATTATAAGAATATCTACAGTAATAACCATTCATCTTAACACACCAGTGAATGATTCATAGAAATACTGCATCAGTATATAGACAAACCTAAAAAGAAGAGCACAAGAACAAGACCAGAAGTCCTTTACAGAAAGCTTCAGGAATCTTTACATCTATTACATTTCAAGTTTGATACCATGACCTTCTGTTTGGGGGAAATGCCTGTGTCTTCACACAAAGACTTATTTCCATTTTCACTCCTGGCCAAATGAGGTACTTCTTTGATAGTGTTGTTACAACAATACTCTGCTAAACTGGCTGATTGTGTCTATCCAAATTCTTAAAAAAACGGCAAGGTGACACTGACCACAACTGATTTGTAAAACCATTATGACTGACCAACATGTCACTAATGAATGTTAATCACAGTTTTACTTTAAATTCAGTTATGTATTTTGAAAATTCTTCAATGTTTTGTAAGAAGTATAGATAACAATGACTAGACTCGAACAGTTTCACATGCAAAATCATGACTGATGCTCAGACAAATTGATTCCATCACATCTTTGTGGTTAGGGGGCAGTGGGGTAGTGTAAAGGTTACAGCGTCCACTCGTCACGCTGAAGACCCAGGTTCGATTCCCCACATGGGTACAATGTGTGAAGCCCATTTCTGGTGTTCCTCAGTCGTGATATTGCTGAAAATATTGCTAAAAGCGGCGTAAAACCATACTCAGCCTTCGTGGTTAGACTGTCTGTCCTCAGACATGCCCAACCTGTTTAGATGATGAAGTTTGCTCCACATTATAATCACAATCCCTGGAGAACTGATATGGAAGTTATATCTGTCAATTTTCTTTAACTGAATTGTTCTTCCCTAATATGTATGGATAAATGTAAAAATATTATAATTAAATCAGTACATAAAACATTGTTGTTTGAAATATTATACCTATTCTATAACAACATTCAATACTCAATCAAGTTGTTGGTGGCTCAAACCTCAGGACCACTTCCTTCATTCACTCTACCAGGAGGAAATCGATATTATACGATTATGCGCTGCTCATAAAATGTAAAACTGTGAAAAAATACATTAAAAATACATATTAACATATATGTGTGCAATATTATCTATACCTCGTAGCCTCCATGGATTGAAATGATATGACATTTAAGCCAGGCAGACACCAAGAACCACCTAATCTATCTTCTTGTTTTCTGACCATCACCTGGTGTGTATGAACCATACATATAAGTTCAAACCTGATAAGTAAACAGCATTAAATATACATGTATCTCATTAACATTTGTTATACTTTCCTAAAAACAAAAACATATCAGACAATGTTGAGTACAGTCTATGTTACATTTAATGGTGTCTTCACACAAGCATAGGTAATTTCAATTTTACATATTAAATAAATGTGGGGTATTAAACAGTGATTGATGTGTAGAAAAAGTATTCCAAAATTACTACTCCATCGAGCCTGACATGAAGCCCAGCAGCTCCTCTGACTACTCCAACAAGTCTGACATAAAGCTTAGCAGCTCCTCTGACTACTCCAACAAGCCTGACATGAAGCCCGGCAGCTCCTCTGACTACTCCAACAAGCCTGACATGCAGCTCCTCTGACTACTCCAACAAGCCTGACTCAGATCCCAGCAGCCCCTCTGACTACTCCAACACTACTCCATCAAGCCTGACATGGAGCCCAGCAGCTCTTCTGACTACTCCAACAAGCCTGACATGGAACCAAGCAATCCTCTGACTACTCCAACAAGCCTGACTTGAAGCCAAGCAGCTCCTCAGACTACTCCATCAAGCCTGACATGAAGTCCAGCAGCCCCTCTGACTACTCCAGCAAGCCTGACGTGGAGCCCAGCAGCTCCTCTGACTACTCCAACAAGCCTGACATGGAAGTTCAGCAGCTCCTCTGACTACTCAAACAAGCCAGACATGAAGCTCAGCAGCTCCTCTGACTACTCCATCAAGCCTGGCATGGAGCCCAGCAGCTCTTCTGACTACTACAACAAGCCTGACATGAAGTCCAGCAGCACCTCTGACTACAAGCCTGACATGGAAGCCCAGCAGCTCCTCAGACTACTCCAACAAGCCTGACATGGTGCCCAGCAATCCTCTGACTACTCCAACAAGCCTGACATGAAGCCCAGCAGCTCCTCTGACTACTCCATCAAGCCTGATGTGGAGCCCAGCAGCGCCTCTGACTATTCCAACAAGCCTGACATGGAAGTTCAGCAGCTCCTCTGACTACTCAAACAAGCCAGACATGAAGCTCAGCAGCTCCTCTGACTACTCCATCAAGCCTGGCATGGAGCCCAGCAGCTCTTCTGACTACTACAACAAGCCTGACATGAAGTCCAGCAGCACCTCTGACTACAAGCCTGACATGGAAGCCCAGCAGCTCCTCAGACTACTCCAACAAGCCTGACATGGTGCCCAGCAATCCTCTGACTACTCCAACAAGCCAGGCATGAAGCCCAGCAGCTCCTCTGACTACTCCATCAAGCCTGACATGAAGTCCAGCAGCTCCTCTGACTACTCAAACAAGCCTGACATGAAGCTCAGCAGCTCCTCTGACTACTCCATCAAGCCTGACATGGAGCCCAGCAGCTCTTCTGACTACTCCAACAAGCCTGACATGAAGTCCAGCAGCTCCTCTGACTACAAGCCTGACATGGAAGCCCAGCAGCTCCTCAGACTACTCCAACAAGCCTGACATGGAAGTCCAGCAGCTCCTCTGACTACTCCAACAAGCCTGACATGAAGCCCAGCAGCTCCTCTGACTACTCCATCAAGCCTGATGTGGAGCCCAGCAGCTCCTCTGACTACTCCATCAAGCCTGACATGGAGCCCAGCAGCTCTTCTGACTATTCCAACAAGCCTGACATGGTGCCCAGCAATCCTCTGACTACTCCAACAAGCCAGGCATGAAGCCCAGCAGCTCCTCTGACTACTCCAACAAGCCTGACATGAAGTCCAGCAGCTCCTCTGACTACTCCAACACTACTCTATCAAGCCTGACATGGAGCCCAGCAGCTCTTCTGACTACTCCAACAAGCCTGACATGGAGCCAAGCAATCCTCTGACTACTCCAACAAGCCAGACATGAAGCCAAGCAGCTCCTCTGACTACTCCATCAAGCCTGACATGAAGTCCAGGAGCCCCTCTGACTACTCCAGCAAGCCTGACGTGGAGCCCAGCAGCTCCTCTGACTACTCCAACAAGCCTGAAATGAAGCCCAGCAGCTCCTCTGACTACTCCAACAAGCCTGACATGGAGGTGAGGTGAGGTGAAATTGGGTTTAACGTCGTGCTTGAGAATATTTCGCTCATATGACGACATGCGTGCGAGTGTATGTGTATGTGCGGCCGCTTGTACTAGCCCAGACTTAAGCTGGTTTTATAGTGCTAGCCCACTGAGATACCATGCCGCAGTGAAGCATGAATACCCCACTCAGACACATTATACTGACTCCGAGCCGACCAGTCCTTGTTGTACCCATTAATGCCGAGCGCCAGGCAGGGACCAACAAGTACCATATTTTAACGTCTTTTGGTATGACGCGGTCGGGGATCAAACCCGCGACCTTCCGCTCTCCGGGCGGACGCTCTAACCACTACACCACGGAAGCGGTCCGCCTGACATGGAAGTTCAGCAGCTCCTCTGACTACTCCAACAAGCCTGACATGGAGCCAAGCAATCCTCTGACTACTCCAACAAGCCTGACATGAACCTCAGCAGCTCCTCTGACTACTCCAACAAGCCTGACATGGAAGCCCAGCAGCTCTTCTGACTACTCCAACAAGCCTGACATGAACCTCAGCAGCTCCTCTGACTACTCCATCAAGCCTGACATGGAGCCCAGCAGCTCTTCTGACTACTCCAACAAGCCTGACATGAAGCCCAGCAGCTCCTCTGACTACAGGCCTGACATGGAAGCCCAGCAGCTCCTCAGACTACTCCAACAAGCCTGACATGAAGCCAGGCAGCTCCTCTGACTACAGGCCTGACATGGAAGCCCAGCAGCTCCTCTGACTACTCCAACAAGCCTGAAATGAAGCCCAGCAGCTCCTCTGACTACTCCAACAAGCCTGACATGGAAGTTCAGCAGCTCCTCTGACTACTCCAACAAGCCTGACATGAACCTCAGCAGCTCCTCTGACTACTCCAACAAGCCTGACATGGAAGCCCAGCAGCTCTTCTGACTACTCCAACAAGCCTGACATGAACCTCAGCAGCTCCTCTGACTACTCCATCAAGCCTGACATGGAGCCCAGCAGCTCTTCTGACTACTCCAACAAGCCTGACATGAAGCCCAGCAGCTCCTCTGACTACAGGCCTGACATGGAAGCCCAGCAGCTCCTCAGACTACTCCAGCAAGCCTGACATGAAGCCAGGCAGCTCCTCTGACTACAGGCCTGACATGGAAGCCCAGCAGCTCCTCTGACTACTCCAACAAGCCTGAAATGAAGCCCAGCAGCTCCTCTGACTACTCCAACAAGCCTGACATGGAAGTTCAGCAGCTCCTCTGACTACTCCAACAAGCCTGACATGAACCTCAGCAGCTCCTCTGACTACTCCAACAAGCCTGACATGGAAGCCCAGCAGCTCTTCTGACTACTCCAACAAGCCTGACATGAACCTCAGCAGCTCCTCTGACTACTCCATCAAGCCTGACATGGAGCCCAGCAGCTCTTCTGACTACAGGCCTGACATGGAAGCCCAGCAGCTCCTCAGACTACTCCAACAAGCCTGACATGAAGCCAGGCAGCTCCTCTGACTACTCCATCAAGCCTGATGTGGAGCCCAGCAGCTCCTCTGACTACTCGATCAAGCCTGACATGGAGCCGAGCAGATCCTCTGACTACTCCAACAAGCCTGACATGGTGCCAAGCAATCCTCTGACTACTCCAACAAGCCAGGCATGAAGCCCAGCAGCTCCTCTGACTACTCCATCAAGCCTGATATGAAGTCCAGCAGCTCCTCTGACTACTCCATCAAGCCTGACATGAAGCCCAGCAGCTCCTCTGACTACAGGCCTGACATGGAAGCCCAGCAGCTCCTCAGACTACTCCAACAAGCCTGACATGGAGGTCCAGCAGCTCCTCTGACTACTCCAACAAGCCTGACATGAAGCCCAGCAGCTCCTCTGACTACTCCATCAAGCCTGACGTGTAGCCCAGCAGCTCCTCTGACTACTCCAATAAGTCTAACTTCAATCATTTCAAGAAACATTTTGCAGCATGGACTTTAGTACCTTTACAAGATGCATGTAACCATGATCTCCCCTTTTTAGTTCATTGAGTATCATGACAAATACATACATATAGCATAACATGTCTAAAATGTATTGTTTGAATATTGTGTAAAATATATTTTAAAATGTTTTATGCATAAAAATGTATTATTTCCATCTCATGAAGTAGCATGTCATCATATTAACAAATCCTTTATAGATCCTTCATAACTGGATATTTTAATATCTTCAGTTAAGAATATCTTCATGAGGTTCTGCACATATCAATAAACTTTTATGAACTGTTTGATCAAATGCATGAAAACATATCAGTAAATGATTTTGTTATTATTTGTCATTGCAAACCTCGCAGTTCATATTTAGAAAACAGTCCTGCTGCTTCACTTTCCCTAACCAGCATCAGTCTGAATTTTATACAGAAGTAAATCACTACCGAGTCTAACCTGGATATAGGATCTTATTCTCATATTCTTTGTGTTCCTGTCTGTAGCTAGTTACAAATACATGAACCCATGGTCCATAATTCAAATGCATCACCAAATTCCATTCGAACTACAGCTACAGATATATACAAATGACAAATCCTGAAGTCGCATGCACCAGACATACATTCTGCATGATATGGTCCCAACACTGTTCTTTTCATTTATAAGACATACTAAATCAAAAGTGAATCTGACAATTATACTTACATCTTCCATTGATGCTTTGCATGCCACAAAACTAATAGATTCCATTATCACATACACTGACAGCATTGACAAAACTAATAGAGTGTGAATCTAAACTACAACAGTTCATATGCAGTATTTAAAAACAACAGACTGGCAATGCAAGTGATTATGTAAGCACCTTTTTTCAGCAGTCTTGCAGACTTGAGTTGTGGCAATTACCTTCTAGGGTTCATTCAGCAAAGCTCACCCAACAAGATGTGTAGCAACCAGTAATAATAAATAATAATAAGTCCATTTGTATAGCACCCTAAATCCAATCACCAAGTTGTTGCTCATGGGGTTAACTAATTAACACTGTCAGGTATCACTTCAACAAGCAGCCAGGGTTTAATTTGGGGCTTCATCTGAGATCTGTTACAATAAAATTGTACAACATATGCAATGGGTTGCTACTCCCAAATCTTGATCACATCATTGAGTTTTGGCCTTCAGACATGAGACAATGATCAGCTCAGAATTCAACAACAGCCTAAACTCTTCTGTAGTCACTTGACTCATTCCAGTCTCCAGCATCATATGTGCAGTGCGGCTTTAACTCAGTACTTGAAAGCCCCCGCCAGAGCTGCCTTTCGAATGAACTCTTTGACAACACACTCATCCAACTTGGTGAAAGCTTCAGTCTGGGTGACAGCTGTCATGTGGTTCAGAGCAAAGCGGAAGCAAAACTCCTCCAATACCTGAAATTATACAAGGATAATGAGTTACTCAAAGTACATTACATCATTTTTATCTACAGCATGTTCCAAAATATTCATATCAAAAGTATGTATCAAAGTGTTCATATCTACAGTATGTTCTTCCAAGTTCATACTTATAATGTGTACTACAGCTTTCACAACTACAATATGTACTTCAGAATCTGAGATAATATTTTGAGTAATTACCTAAGGGTTCATATCAATAATATGAACCACAGTGTTATATCTACAGTATATACCACAGTGTTCATACCTACAGTATATACCACAGTGTTCATATCTACAGTATATACCACAGTGTTCATATCTACAGCATATACCACAGTGTTCATACCTACAGTATATACCACAGTGTTCATATCTACAGTATATACCACAGTGTTCATATCTACAGTATATACCACAGTGTTCATACCTACAGTATATACCACAGTGTTCATATCTACAGCATATACCACAGTGTTCATATCTACAGTGTACACCACAGTGTTCGTATGTACAGTATATACCACAGTGTTCATATCTAGAACGAATGCCACAGTTTTCATACATTGAGTGTACACCACAGTGTTCATATCTAGAGTATACAAGACAGTGTTCATATCTAGAGTGTATATCATAGTGTTCATATCTAGAGCGTATAGCACAGTGTTCATATGTACAGTATATATCAAGGGTTCACATCAATAATATGAACCACAGTGTTATATCTACAGTATATACCACAGTGTTCATACCTACAGTATATGACCCGTGAAGATCCGGGGTAGAATAGGTCTTCAGCAACCCATGTGCTTGCCATAAAAAGGCGACTATCTTGTCGTAAGAGGCGACTAACGGGATCGGGTGGTCAGTTTCGCTGACTTGGTTGACAAATGTCATCGGTTCCCAATTGCGCAGATCGATGCTCATGCTGTTGATCACTGGATTGTCTGGTCCAGACTCGATTATTTACAGACCGCCGCCATATAGCTGGAATATTGCTGAGTGCGGCGTAAAACTAAACTCACTCACTCACTCACTCACCTACAGTATATACCACAGTGTTCATATCTACAGTATATACCACAGTGTTCATATCTACAGCATATACCACAGTGTTCATACCTACAGTATATACCACAGTGTTCATATCTACAGTATATACCACAGTGTTCATATCTACAGTATATACCACAGTGTTCATACCTACAGTATATACCACAGTGTTCATATCTACAGTATATACCACAGTGTTCATATCTACAGCATATACCACAGTGTTCATATCTACAGTGTACACCACAGTGTTATATCCACAGTATATACCAGTGTTCATATCTACGGTGAATACCACAGTGTTATATCATTATACCACAGTGTTCATATGTACAGTATATACCACAGTGTTCATATCTAGAGCGAATGCCACAGTTTTCATATATTGAGTGTACACCACAGTGTTCATATCTAGAGTATACAAGACAGTGTTCATATCTAGAGTGTATATCATAGTGTTCATATCTAGAGCGTATAGCACAGTGTTCATATGTACAGTATATACCACAGTGTTCATATGTAGAGAGTATACCACAGTGTTCATATGTAGAGTGTATACCACAGTGTTCATATGTACAGTATATACCAGTGTTCATATGTAGAGTGTATACCACAGTGTTCATATGTAGAGTATATACCACAGTGTTCATATCTAGAGTGTATACCACAGTGTTCATATCAACAATATATACCACAGTGTTCATATCTAGAGTGTTTACCACAGTGTTCATATCTAGTGTACATCACAGTGTTCATATCTACAGTATATACCACAGTGTTCATATCTACAGTATATACCACAGTGTTATATCTACAGTGTATAACACAGTGTTCATATGTACAATATTCCCCACAGTTCCCAAAATTACTGTGTAGTGTACATACCTACATTATTTTCCAGTGTTTATATCTACAGTAATAACCATAGATTTAATAGTTTCACAGTATAAGTACAGTATGTGCTACAATGTTCACAACTACACTATTACAGTACATTATTCATATATGTTTCTTTGTCATGTACTGTTTATGGGCAAACATAATGTTTAATTATACATGTCAACCCTTAACTATGCATGTAACTATTACAGACCAAATCATTCAAAAGTATCATTCTGAATACAACAAAATATTCATGAAAGCCAGTGGCATAATTCAACTGATATTGTTTTTGCTCCTGAACCAGCCAAATTCTACAGCATGTTCAAAGTTTGCAACTCTGGCAACTCATGTTATGCCTAAACTCTTGTTGTTTGAACAGATTGGAACACTCCTCCATGCTAAGCCCACTGAACCAATCTTATTACAATTACCAACACGAATGTGTCAAAAACAGGCTCCATCAAGAGGAGAAAATCCTCCAACTTGATGTGTGGCCATACTCTCTAAACATGGCAAGTGTCAAGTCCGGAATCCTCAGTCAAGAGGAAGTCTAATCAATAGGGTATGAAGCTGACCTCTGTGAAATCTTCCATGCTGTACCACTCTTTACATAGTGTGGAATACCTCTTTTGACAAACACTTCTCTCTTAAATATTTGATGAATATCAATCACAAATCACAAGCACTTTGACAGCTTCAGTGTCAATGATGAAACAATAAGGTGATTATTTTAAGAGTACTTTGTGGCTGTATTAACTGGATAGACAGTCTTAGAGATGTGCATATTATGAGCCATTTCTGCCTGAGTGTTGAGATATTAATTTTGCATATATTATGTGTTTATTACTTATGTTTTTCTTGGAATTGATGCATTCAAGTAATTTGTATTACAATGAATATATTGTGATAGGTATATATGACCATTATCAGTAATTGTAACTTTTATGTGTAATCTACTGTATTACTACAGATGTGATAAGACTGTTTTATTGATTATTGTTATTAATATGTTACAGGGTGAAAACAAAACAAAACCAAATATATATTGGAGCAAAGACTTGTGGCGCAAGTCACAGCTCACACCCCAGCAGGCGTTCAGGTCTTCTTTGAACAATACCACCCCTTACCCCGCTATATGGCTATTAGGGCTGCGCAATATAACCGGTATTTACCGGTTCAGACATGAAAACGATACGTATTGCGATACGCTGATCGAAAACCGGTATTTTGACATGCATTCGGAAAACTTTGTAACGCTCGGAAATCTTCGGATATTTCCGTTTTTTTTAATTGTTCTTGTCCCTGTTTCATTAGTGCCAAATGTTACTTAAATTTGTATTTTGTCATGCTTAAGAGTTTTTATAAAAGGTTAATCAGTCATAGTGATTTTGTTGTGTTTTTGCTTTATAATCAAGCATTAACTCGATTATAAGTAGTTTTTGTTAAAAACATAATCCTTGCAATATATTGCAAGACATATCGCAATATATGCTTCCGCATCGCAATATATCGCAATATGAAAATTCTCTGCAATACCCACCCCTAATGGCTATACTGACAATGGTGTTTCCTTTGATAATTCTTTTGCTTTTCCTCACATTCATTACCAGTTAAGTACTTTCTGTGCTGATACCATCATTCCAAGGAAAGAAATTTAAGTTTACCGAAGTCATGGCTAATCAAAGAACCAAATGAGTGAGTGAGTATGGTTTTCCGCCACTTTTAGCAATGTTCCAGCAATATCACAGTTGGGGACACCAGAAAGGGGCATGATGAAATGTGTCAACCAAGTCAGCGACTATATAGCAAAGTGGAAGGAGAGTACTGAAGGGTTTTCAAGTTCTGCTCCAGAAAGGAGCACTACCACCAAATTCAGTCAAGTCAAACTTATTGCCATGGAAACCTAAAAAAAAAAATATTTTCAGAAATCTAAAACTGTCAACAAAAGAAACCAGTTCACCACCAGACCTATCTATATCCCAAGTTTGGTGAAGAAACATTGAATGGTTTTAAAGTTCTGCACCAAAAAAGAGGACCAACACCAATTTCAGTCGAAAGTAAAACTTGTTGCCATGGAAATGCAAAAAATAATTTATTCAGAAATCCAAAAGGCACCAGTACACCACCAGACCTATCTATGTGTCAAGTTTGGTGAAGAAATTTTGAACAGTTTTTATGTTCTGGTTCAGAAAAGACGAATGTGCACGGATGGATGGACGGAGTCTATTTTAATAGCCCCCGCAAAAGGCGTTGCAGGAGATAACTATAATCATATAAGAATGAATGGATGAACATGATAAAGCTACAGTTGTGTCTGAACATCAGCATAGCAGGTGACAGGAAGTAAGAGAATTAAAATCATTTTGCTTGTATTGATAAAAAGTCAATTTTATTGTGGCCACTGTAACTCCTGCATTCTGACTTACTGAACTTGTGACATGTTATAGCATTCATGTCCCAATGATTTCAGCCATGCTCACCAAAGCTGACTAATGTCTGCACTACATATGGACTATCTGGGAATCCCAGTTACACTGAAGGGTATTCCCTTTGCTTACCTGTATCATTATGCACAATTCAGAACCTCCCCTCTCTGATCACCGAAGATAATCCTTGTCTACATTTTTAGGTGTTATAGTCAGGGTATGCAACATGAAGGACCCAATGCATTCACAAGAACGATCTCAGGTGTGAGGTAAGAGGTAACTCACTGAAGTGTGGCTGCTTGTCCAGGTAGTTGTACCATCCAAGGTATCAAACCCTAAGGGAAGCGACAAACCCTTGCATAGGCCAAAAAAACAGACTGGGCAGCAATGATCATGAAGACCATGTAGATCTTCAGTGACACTGCGCAGACAAAAGAATGTGAACAAATCAGATGATATCCTGGAGAAATATAGTTTTCCAAGCATGATGATACAATGACCCTTTCATTGGATCAAATGGATGGTGAAGGAGTTCTGAAGGTACTACAGATAAATCCCACATGGTAGAGATATGGTGTTTTGGGATATCCTCAATCTCAAAAGAATGGACCAGTGGTGTTCCTTCGATAGGCG